AATTTAGTAATTCCTTATTTAATTCCGCTAATTTCCTTTTTACATTGTAGATTATTTGAAAACTGTAGATACGTAGACGTTAAAGAAAAATCGATTTCGTATTGGTCAAACAGAAATTTTCTCTGTCACAAAACAAGAAAAAATAATTCTATATAATACATACTATATATACATCTATATAGTAGTATTATACACATAGGTACCTGTTAAATCCTTTTGTGCTTTTGTACATGGTGCTGTTTTCATGTAGCAGTTGTGATATCCTTCACGTAGAGTGTCGTTATTGAGAACAGCGTCAATATCAAGAACATTATCAAATTCATCGGAATAGCACTCCACTGCAAGAACGTACACCAGTACGTTCATAGCAATGATTAATACGATACGATTTAACTGAGACATTGTTTCCACAGTTATGATACTTGATTTACTAAATTATAAATGAATCGCTTTCTTTTATATAAATCTAACTTAAAAGAAAAACCACGTGATGTATGTGCAAATGCAAAATATTTACAGAAGATCAATAAGCCATAAAACACCTTTGAGAGATATTGGATGTTATTGCAATTACGTTTTATTGTATATGATAATTGAAATAGACGTTTCAATCCTTTTAGTTTGGAATTTTTTCAACTACATTAATGATAAGACAATATATAAAATATATATAATAATTACCATTAAATACAAAATTGAATATTAAATTGTGTGAATTTACAGTTTTTTTCGTCGTAATTTGAACTGTAATAATGTGTATTTGAATAAGTCAATTCGCATTCATATGTCGATGTCCATTAAATTAACAAGTTTACTAAATAATCATTAATGTAAAATTTAATAAATAAGATTAAAATTAAAATTAAATGTAATTACTTAAAATTTACATTTTGCTATTTGAATATTGATATAATATGCAATGTTGACAACTCATGGAACTGATAAGAACATTTGTCACACAATAACACAACTGGATCTCCAATAAAACTATGAAAGAGGGGGAAGGAATTAATTTTTTGGAATTAAAGTGAATTAAAGTAGAATTTCTATACAGAAGATTTAGCAATTATGATTAAAAATTGTTGAAAGTTTACAATTCTATGTACAAATTTTTTTAAAGATATGACTTAACTTTTTACGTCCTATATTTAATGGTACTTGTTTTTAACGTTAAATGATAATTCGGGGTTAATTTTTTACATTAAAAATTAACTTAATTTAACAATTTTTTAATTGCAGCAACATAAAATGATTTTCGTAATCTAAATTTTAGAAGCTACATAAATAGATTACATCAATACATCTTTCAAATAATTTTATTATATTACGACGAAATTTTAGTTTAAATTTTTATTAGAAAAATATATAATATTAAAAGATTTAAAAGTCGTAAAATAATTGAACTGAAAAATTTTTTTTACATTTAAACAGTATCAACTCCAATTTGATTATTATTATAACTAAATGTGATTAATAAACGATTAATATTTGTATATTATGTATTTTTGTATATTATGTATTTTTGAAAATATATACATTGACAGAAGCATACATAAGGCAGATAAGTTCTATTTTCATAAATTATTTACTAATATGTGAGATAACTAATTTTTTGCGGATTATTGCATAGACAATTGTGAATATAATGTATATATTTATTGATATTTTATATTTCTAGAATCTGGGAAATTACTAGACATTATAAAATGCATTCTTATTTCTAAATATATTCATAGAATATTTATTAAAGACTTAATAATTTTAGATTGCGAAAGTATTGAAGTATAAAAAAAAACTTTATTTATATACAGTGTTACAATTACTGTCTTAAGTGCAACTGTACATAAACATTAAAAAATATTTTTTATAAAATTATTTATTATTTTTTTTTCTATTGATTTTTGAAGCAACGAGAATAATATTTTAGAAAGCCATATAAATAATTTATTGTATTAATCAGCTAAAAAATTTAAAAAATTGGTCTGTTTTATGTTTGCCATTCATGCTATTGGAGACTCGTATACCAAAGCGGTTATAAATATATTTCCGTCTGTGCGTGCGCATATAATTTATATAAACACTCAATTATCTAATTAATACCAATAATGTTAAAAAATAATGAATATATATAAAACAGATGTACAATTTGTGTAGTAGCTATTATCCAATAAGATCTTGAACATTGCCCTTCTCAACCAGAAATTTCAAACTGAATTTTTGTTTCCAACTTGAACCTTCTTTGTTGATTTTCCATAAAATATTCGTTAATAAATAGAAGGAAAGATAGTATTTCCATAATTTATGAGGATCATTGATCCTTATAAATTATCAAAAATGAATTTTCTTATTGTTGCAATATGTTTATCATTGTTATTTATTAAATTTAGAAGAGGATACAATATCAGTATAATTTTTCATTATATTAATAATCGTATATTTATTATATTTACTAATAATAGTTAGAGTGTTCTTAAAACAATATTTTATTTATTTCATCACAGCAATTAATTTTGTTAAAAATTGTTATATGTATCAAATCTTAATTAATTAAAGCCGGTATTTATAGTCAATTCTCATATTCAAGACGTCTTAATTTGAATCTTGAGATGTTATGAATCAATTAGAAAGAGCCGCATTAGCGTCTTAAGACATACTTAAGACGATCGAATCTTAAAATTAAATCCGACTAGAAATACCGACTACAGTAACGTTAATTATACAATATATGTTTTAAAGGCAAAATATATCAAAAAATAATTTTTTTTATTTATTTTGTAAAATTTGTGCTAGATACGTGTAACATATGTTAATAAAAGTGAAATATAATTAAAAAAAAGGGTATAAATTTTTACATTACTGCGATAATTAAACAATAAATAATAAAGATTTAAATATTATTTAATTTATTTTTTCTATAGCATTGTACAATTCGTCTCAATGATAAAATGTTTTATAAACTTGTATTTTTGCTTTAAAAATTGTTTTACATATTAGATATAAATAAGTTTTAATCCTTTTTTTACAGAAAAATTGATATTTATTTACAAAAAAACCGAAGCACATATCAGTCTTGAAAATAATCTCCATCACTTTCGACACACTTTTGCCATCTCTCAAGCAGCTGGCGAATCTCTGCTCGGAAAAACGATGGTGGTTTTTATTCAATAAATTTGATTATAGAACTTTTTATCTCTTCGGATGTTTGAAAATGCGTATCAACGAGATGGTAGAGAACGAAACAAGTAGACATCCGTATGAGCCATATTTGAAGAATAAATCGCGTGATGGAGAATTTTCCAGCTTAAAGTATAGATTAATTCTTTGCAGGAGCGATTCAATTGCGCACTGCAGCAATTGCTCACTGCCAGTCACGGCGACTTCTGCCTAGGGAGGTATTTTTATTTTTTTTTCTAGCGTTGTGATTGGCTTGTGCGCAATTGAACCGTGGGCAATTGCAAGCCTCTCATTCTTTGATTGCTATCGTCGAATAGGGCCGTGCATTATCATGCAGCAGTATCATCTGACGCGTTCCCTGGTCGGTATAGAGTCATTTTCGTCCAATTTCGTCACTTAAACGCATCAATTGTTGATAACGCCCAGACGTTATACTTTCTCCAGGTTTAGCAATTCAAAGCATAGTCACTTCTTATCATCAGTTAGGACTTTAAACAGACGATCTTTCTGTTTAAATCTTGACAACATTGGCAAATTGCTGTGTCGTAGCGACTCGCTTTGTAGTTTGGGCTGAGCATGTGCAGAACCCAACGGAACCAGCCTTTTGTATTTTTCCCTACAGCTTCTGCAATCGATGGGAAATCGCTTGTTAAATGACACCCAGTTCAATAAGCTCCTTTAGTGTTTGACAAGGATTTTCGTAGCTGATCCATTTCCTCGTTTTCAACTTTTTCTAATGCTTCCGAACGATATTGATAGGAAAGATCGAAATTACCCATTCGAAACTTTTTGTACCACTTTTTTCTATGTACTTTCTAACATCGCATTTTCTCCTAAAGCGGAACAAATCTTTTTTTTTTGCTTCGAGAACACTTTTTTAATTGAAAAGCGAATAGAGTATAATACCTCACGTGATTGTCGGACGACATTGTGCTCACTTTTAAGGTTTGTGGGTTTTTGGCGTCTAGTAAGATATTCGTATGTAGATTTTTTTATCATAAATTTGAATTATGAATTCTCAAAGCAGCGGGAAAAAGATTTAAATTTATATAATAGTAAAGTTACAGTTGATTAATTCGGAGAGATCAGAATTTATTTGTAGAGTTGACATATGTATTATTTTCACATACGCATCATATTATTTTAATAATTGATGCAAGAGAAAAAATGTTTTATTTATAATTATATAAAATTATAATTATATATACATATAATACAATAAACAATAAAAAAATTATATATCATTTTATATAATTATATATATAACATTTTTCTCGGGTATATATTTAAATATGTATATGTACTTAAATATATATATATAAACTATTAATGTACAATATGTTGTTGAATGTGGAATAATTAAATATAATAAAATCTTTTTATCTTTTAAAAACATTTTGTCTTATATCATCAAAAGTTTCATAATTTCCCCATAGATATTAAATTATACTCAGAATCATCGTTCAATTTTGCAACTGCGTAGATTCATTATGAGCGTGAATATGCGATCAATTTTTTCGTATTTACATTTCATAATTATTTAATTGCGTAGAACAAGATATCACGAAAACATTTATTTAAAATGACGCGAATGAATCTCTCTCTATAGAACAAATTAATAATTTATTTGTGTAACTAATAATTCACTTATTTATATATCGTGGTGTCAGAAATGTTAGCACATGTTTCTACTTCATAAACGCTCTTGAAAATTATGAATTGGAAAGAAATTTAAAAGAGAATGTAAAAAAGAAAATTATTATCAATTTGACATAATAATGAGTCGTTTACGTTGCGAATATTATATACAATTTATCATTTTAATTTTAATTCATCACTTTTTTATAAGAAGCTACAATAAGTTACGGTTTTTGTCCTCAAAACCTAGATAATCCGGCGTACAAAGTTTTATGTGATGTTTTAAAGCTTTACGTGATAAGGGCATTTTACAATAAAGACAATGCATGGTCACATTGCTTGCGCTTTTGTCAGAATGCGGTTCATCGGAAGTGACTCGAAGTTACTTGTTCGATGATGATTTTGGTGAATTTTTCGGTGATTTTTTTGGTGAATCTTTCTTCATATTTAGTTGACAATTTGTAAATAATTGATTAGCTGAAGATCGTATACGTAGCTCGTGATTGGACAACTTGAAATTGCTTGTTGAATATGAACGTACAAATGTTTCATTTTTATTTATTTCTCTATCAATGCAATACGTATTCTAACACAATGCTGAAAATGATTTTTTGCCACTTTTATTGTGTGCCATTACATAAAAAGAGTATAGTACATAGTATAATGTAACTTAAGAATAAGATTCAATTTTAGGGATCTGTGGCTGATTGTGAACCAAAAATTTGTATTGTGATTTGTCAATTTCACGTAATTCGAAAATATATTAGATATTAGCTGCGTTCAGCAGAAAAAGCTTTGCAACTATTATACGATTCTTTAATATGATTTGTTTATACATTTAATCCAGTAAGAACTAAAGGTAAGATCAATCACATCAAAGAATTTTACAACTTTTGCAAAGCTATTTTTCTGAACGCAGCCATTTTATCAGAAAAAATATTTATAGTGGTGCGAACCTCAAAATTTAAACAGCTCATATAACTTAAATTCGTTAAAAATAAATAAAATTTCTATTTAAAAAAAGATTTTTAAAATTTAATCTCTCTACTTTCGAAAGGTCGCTATGTTGTTTCTATAAATTTGCTAATTTTTACATGTACATGGTGACTGAATTGTATGGCCACACTCGTCCCGAGCAGGTAGAACGGACTAAATTAAGTCGAAAAGTCCTGTACTATTTTGCAATGCTCGCAATAATTAATGAAATATTAATGTTTAAAGATAGCCGAATACGCGCGTCCGCCCGAAGGTACTCACTATTGATATTACCGAAAATACGGCTCATCGAGCGCACAATTGGTCCACAAGATGGCCAATCCAGCCATCTTGTATAAAATTACGAGCTGGAACAAAATGGAAGATTTTCTTTTTACTTTGTGCATCTGTCACATAAATTTAATAAAAGATGCAAAAAATTTTCCGTACAAAATCGTTTTTTAAAAACGTTTTTTATGATTTTTTTTTCTCTAGCAGCACAATTCATTGGCGAAACGTTAGTTAAATTTTGGCATACATTGGGGATATGTTGGGCCAATAGCACCGATAATTGTGTTGCTAAGATTGTTATTGAGTTATCACGGATTAAATAAAAAGAACATTTTGACTTTGATTATTCATAACTTTAATCATCATACCGTAATTAAAGAAATAGATTCTTAGAACTGAAACTTTGCCCTATTCAAACGATAATTACAAAAATTTTTGAAGAACATGTAGACATTTTAATGTTTGATACTTTTGTTTCGATTTAATATAACTTTTTTTTTACACATTCATTTATGTGTACTTGCATTTTACAGCCAGATCTTTCCATATATTTTTTATTAATATATTTTATTTACTTTTTCTTTTTAATTTCCTTTCTCCTTTTATATTCTTACACTGAGAAAAATTTCTAGACTTTTTCCAATAAAAACAAACTAATAATCCTTTCAAAATATAACAAACGGATATTTACGATTATTTTCATCGGATTAAAAATCCAACCAAACATCAATGGAAATAAATCGGTTGAAATGTCCGATAAAAAATATCCGATCGTTACTTTTCAGATGGATAATTTGATAATATAATTTTCCAATCGATTGTCTACACGCATATATTTCTGATCGGAAATTTGCCATTAAATAAGAGCGGATTATTCGCTCAAATTATCCGATAAAATCGAATCCTTTCGATCATTTTTCGATCAAAAAATATCATAGATTAAACTATTCTGTATATACAATAAACAATAAGCTGTCTCCTTATACTTGATAGAAATTAATGTATTAAATTTAAAACAATAGTTTATTAAATATAAGCAACGGAGAGAATATTTTATTGTATATGAAACCATATAATCCATGAAATTAGATCGAAAAATGATGGAAAAAATTCAACTTTATCAGATAATTTATTCAATTACATCCTCAGCTTTATAATACAGAATGTTCCAAAAAGATCAGATAGTTTTCTTTTTTTAATTATGTCGCCCCGTGATAAGATATAGATATATGTGATCAGATGAAATATATATGGCGTTAATTTTTTAGTGTACGAAATTTGGTATTTGGCTATGGATTTTCAGTACTTGTGCAGTGATAACGGAATGCATTCAAAGTATTAAAATCTCGTATTTTAACAAATTAAGCGTATAATTATACATCTTATCAAGAGGTGTAATCATACGGCGTAATTAAAAAAAAACTGTCCGACTATTTTAGAACTCATTATCAAATGAGCTAAAAAGTGAAAATCACATTAATAAGACAAAACAACAAGAAATAATAAATTATTAAAATAATATGTAGACTGATGAACAAAATACTGCATCTATATCAAAACAATTGTATCATATATTGGAAAGGTTGGATGTATTACAAAATTCAGTACGACATTTACAACTATTACAATATGATAATAATAATAATTTAATAAAAATTCTTGTGTTAATATTAATGCAAAATTAGTATAAAATTAAAATATAATGTACACTATATACTAAAAAAGATAGGTCTTTTAAAACGCTTGTGTTACAATTAATTAGTTTTTACTTCTATGGATATATAACCATTTACGTTCAACCGCTCTACGAGCAAGGCTGAATTCGAAATTGTGTTGCAGCCGTTCTGTCCATGACTGTACAGAGTGCTTTCGTAACCTACATATCAGTAAGTTGGGTTGCCTATCTGCTCATGGGCAGGGGCACGCTTTACTGGTAATGCCGAAAAATTAGATCGCAAGTCCGGCGGGGAATGAGACAAGAAAAATTGAATTTTATTCTGGTATTGTATAAAATTCAATAATATTATATAAAATATGTATTTAATAATACAAATAATATCTGACTTAATCTAACATAAAGGACATTTGATAAATATTTTAAAATATATATAATTATAAATATTTATAATTATAAAGCAAATATCTTTGTGTTGAAATGTATATAAAATAAATATTTGATTTATAATTACAAAGAAATGAATGCAAAGCATCTATTTCGCAAAAGGCATGAAGAACGGTGTACGTTAGAACGCATACGGTATATCGAGACAGCGAGAAGAATAGTTCAAATCGTATAAAATTAAAGAAGAGATTATATAGCGCAATATATTTTTTTTTCAAGCAGTGTCCTTATTACAGAGGATTATGTCTTTAAAAAAATACCGTTTACAATAATTCATTATTTATTGATTTAATTAAAAAATGTGTAAGGTGTAAAAAGGAACTTTGTAAGTAAAAACTTTGTACTGTCTACTATGAAAGAAATATTAGAAATCCGGAATACTTATAGTACCTTTCAAATAAAAAAAAGAATTTTTTGAAAACCTTTTGAAACAGCATTATTGCCGTATATCCCATAGGAGTGGAATATAAATATTACTCATAGGAGCAGGAGATATGTTACGGCTTATAAAAAATTTACAAATAATGCTTATAAATAAAATGTAAAATGACACAATAACTTATAAAATATATTTACAAAGTGTTATTAAGAAATAAGATGATAAATACGTACATATATGAAGTGTAGATATAATTACAATCTTCTTACATATATTATAAGTGTTATTACGTGAGGTATATATTTCAGGTAATGCATTTAGCGCACTGAATCCAATCTGAGCACTTTGTATGCTTTGGGCATAAATCCCGCCCATTAAAAATACTATATATATATCTCAAACAGGTGAAATATACAAGACAACAAATTAAACAAAGAATACAAGAGCAAAGCACTTGTATTTTACTATACAACATACTTTATTATTCCTCTACATTTATGTATCACGAAATAATCACTAAATCTTTTACGCGCTCTACAGTAATTATTTTATGTAGATTATAATTTATGATGACGCTACTTATATTGGGTGGTCCGGAAAGTCCGTGCGGATTTTACAATGAAAAATTGTATATACGATACCTTCGTCAAAAATGAACGAAATTTAAATTTAAAAAAAGGGTTTTAAAGCTTGAAATCTCTACTTTTAAAAGCTTATCACATTTTTTAAGTTTATATGAGTTTGATAATTTTTACATACCAAAAACTACGAGCTGAAAAAGACGAAAAATTT